GCTCTGCTGGGCTTTGCATTTTGTGATTAAAAAAGCCTGGATCTCAGGCTTGACACAACCAGATCTTCTCAAACACTTGTTCCCTCCTCCTTAACCAAAACAAAGCAGATTAATATCTGCACACGTGGGACCACCAGGAAGAGCACTGGCTCAACGATGGTTTTTCATTTGCATTTTCATAACTACAAGGTTTCCAACTGCTTGTTGAACAGCAGGGTGAGATCCTACCTGCGTAGATGCAGACAAAAGAGCCTTTAGCGATATCATCGAGGCAGCGAATGCCCCAGCCCTTGTTCTGCGTCTTGAACAACTGCAGTCGGACTTGGAGCCCGTGTTGGACCAGGCGGTTGGTGCACATGTTAATGTTGCACTTGCACCTTTTGTTACACTCATAAACTCTGAAAGAAAAAGAGAACAGTGATGTCTTCCCTGAGAAAGCAATAACCCAGGACTTGGTGTTCATAGAATCATCGAATGTGAGCTGGAAGGACCCACAAGGATGATGGAGTCCAGCTCCTGTCCCTGCACAGGACAATCCCAACACTCAGCCCATGTCCCTGAGGGCCTTGGCCAAATGCTGCTGGAATCTTGTCAGGCTTGGTGCCATCAGCACCTCCCTGGGGAGCCTGTTCCAGTGCTCCACCACCCTCTGCCCCAAGAACCTTTTCCTCATGGCCAACCTCACCCTCCCCTGCCACATCTTCCTGCCATTCCCTCTGCTCCTGGCATTCGTTGGTGGCCAGAGAGAAGAGATCAGCGCCTGCCCCTCCTCTTCCCCTTGGGAGGAAGTTCTAGACCCCCAGGAGATCTCCTCTCAGTCTCCTCTTCTCCAGGCTGAACAAACCAAGCGACCTCAGCCTCTCCTCATACAGCTTCTCCTCTAAACCCTTCACCAATGTTGTATTGTACCAGTACGGATGCAAAGGGACGCGCAGCGGTGGCCAAGAGCTCAGCAGCTGCCAGGTTCTACGGCAACACACAGAGATCCTGGGCCACACGTAAGCAGATGCATCAAGAGCAGGGGCAGGTTTTCAGTGTCTGTGCTTAGCTCTGGGAAATGCCACCTCTTGGACACCATCAGAGACCAAGTTTCTGGGGCTGGTATTTATGAGGGAAGGAGAAGACGCAGCTCTACTTACCCTGTGGGGAGACATTCTTCCAGCCTTTTGTGCTGGTATCCTGAGTTGGGGTTGATCTGCCCACCTGGGGTGCAGCCAGTGGCTTGGACTGTCAGCTGGTGACAGGCACATTTCGACCTAGAAAGACAGAGAGAAAAACCCACCATGTGCCAGGGGTCAGTTTTACAGGAAGGAAAAGAAATCGCATCTTTCTGCTCTGTGAATACGCAGAGAGATGAGCATGGAGGGCTTGACCTGGAGTCAAACCTGTGACTCGCCAGAGCTGTGTGGGCTCAAAGTCCAGAGCAAGGTCAACCGTGGGTTATCACCAGGGCACAGTCCAGGGGCTGTCCCCAACCCTCCGGCCCCAGAGGCACCCAAAGTGTCACCTACTTGTCTCTGCAGCCGTCTTTGCAGTCGCAGCCCACCAGGAACTCCCAGCTGGTGTTGATGTAAACGCCTTTGCCGGGGATGCGTTCTTTGCTGTAGGCCACCTGGGGAGGTGGGGTGTTATCGATCTCGTTGACACAGGACAGCGGCACGTCCTCCTTACCCTTGGTAATATCTGCGATGTAATAGTAAGGTTTGTAGGGTTGGAACTTGCGATCTACCAGCACGTATGGATCCAGGCAGAACATCTCCAGGAAAAGGAAATCACAATCTGTCTCAAAGAGGTAGCGCTCGATCTCCTGCATGGTTCGCAGGCACAACCCGCACGGCGTCTTGTAGAGGACATGGAAGCCCATCTTGCGGTTGACCCGTCGGCGGGCGGTCATCCTCCGGAAGTCGTAGAGCAGGGGGATGAGGAGGGGGTTCTTGCTGCGGTACTGGTCGCTGTGGATGGGACGGACGCGGGACAGGCAGGTGTAGCTGCAGACATGTGGCAGGTAGAAGAGTTTCTCCAGGGGAGCTCGGTAAGAGGGCTCATTGGGCACTCGGTCCATCATGCCATGGAAGGCCTGTGTTGTGCCACTGCCTGTCTGGCCACTGGACAACCTGTTACAGGAGAAGGGACACACTGAGCAACGGTGGCCTAAGGAAGAACGGAGCTTTCTCTTCTGAGGGATTTTAGGCACTTAAATTCCTGCTCATTACACACTGGGACACCTCGCTGGCTTTGCTGCTTAATCCAATTGGACACAAGCCCCAGCATCCCCTGGATGGTCAGACCCCAAAGGGAGTGCTACCAGCAACAGAAAATACAAAAAAACCCCAAAACAAACCCAAACCAAACCGAAATCAGAACTAGGGAAGCAGAAACGAGCATGATCTGGCTGTGGTCTCAGAACAGGGATCAACGGCTGCGTATCGATTGCCACAAAGCCACTGCTGTGGAAAAGCCACCTGCAGATTTACAGGAGCAGCTCTCCCCTGGCCGCAGAAAGCTTGTAGGAACAGGAATCCCCTGAAAATGAGCAGGGCCAGAGGCTCTGGGCAGGGTCCCACTGGGGTAAGTTCTGGTCAGAATTGCTGAGAGACCCTCCAAGCTCAAGCCAACAACAAAAGATAACGACAAGTTGTCTGGGAGAGAGAACAAGGGAAGAGGAAGATGCTCAGGACTGGAAAAGCTGGCAAATAAAGGCATCAGCCTGTGACAAAACAAACCTGCAGTCAACCAAACAAGCCCCAGATTTGTACCAGCGTCCCAAACCCTCCCAAGGACGCGGGGATTTGTATTAAGTACAAACAAGCTTTGCTCACCGATGCTGCTGGGATGCACCGGTCCTTCCCGCTGGAGGTGTGTCACTGAGGACAGGTGAAGAAGGTGACGACTGCCCAGAGCCCACGGAGCCAGGACGGAAGGAAGTACTTTTTTTGGCCACTTGCTTTCTTGACTGGGCCAGCTGACTGTCGGAGCATCTGCAGGAGGGACAGAGGGAGGTGGTTTGCAAGATGCAGACACTCAGATGACTGGTAGGATTTAGACAGACTGGGGCAGACAAACTAACGCTCCCCCACAGAAGTTGGCAACAGCGTCCCCATCCAAGAGAAACCAGGTGGGTTTTTTCCCTAATGAGAGTGGAAATCAGCTCATTTCTGACTCCTTGTGCTACAAAGATCCTGCAACAACCCCAACTCCACGCCAGAACTCGGCTATGTTTAAAAATGACTTCTGACATCCTGCTATTTATCTGGAATTAAGGCACGAGGGTGAGAGGGAGTGTAACGGTCCAAGGCCTTCACTTCAGGAAGCTGGACAAACCAGTACATGAAGAAACCCCTGCAACAGCAGAAACAAGAGGTTACAGAGGCTCAGTCACAGCTACAGTACTGAGCAGTGGGAGGAACGAGAAGCATAGAGGACTCTCTTGTCTGTACCAAGACAAAACTATACAAGGGAATGTGATAATTTCACCAACAAAAGTGCTACGAGGGGCTCCCAAACATGGGGAAGGTGGTAGGCACCTGGAACACATTAGCCCTGACACTGAGAAAACAGCAGCAGATGTTTTCAATCCATTTATATACCAATTAAATAGAAAAACACCCCAATTCAGCCACCGGTTTTCCCACAAGTGAAAGAACAGTTACGTTATCAGGGCAGAAAGGGAGGAGACAGCGAGAGCAGGAGGGGGCAACCGTTTCTGCAAACATCTGCCTTAAAAGCAAGGTGTTAACACACATTTCAAAATTCAAGAGCAAGAGAAAAAAAGCTTCCATCAACGGCTTGAAACAGTCAGAAAGGGCTGATAGCAGCTCCCTGGCACCAGAGAAGAACTTGAAAGTGAGACTGGAGAGGGAAGAGAACCCTGCCTTCCTCAGAGTAAACAAAACACGAGAGTGAAAAAAACCATTCTCCCAGTTTTAATAATCTAGAACCAAGGTGTTTTCAACCCAACAGTATCCTCAGGACAGCGGGAGCACGGATATAACACGCTGCCTTCAGTCAATGTTAAAAACCAGTTGTCTTGAGGCAGTTCAGTGTTTTAACAGCAGCGCAGGGAAAAGTCTGTAGTGTCTGCTTGTCTGAGACCTGAGAACAAGATCCTACAGTCAAAGCCTTGATGGGGGAAAGGAGAGAGAGAGAGGAAAAAAAAAAAGTGCTCTTGAAGTGTTCTTGTAAACCCTGCAAGGACTTTGAAATGGAAAAGGAGAGATTCAGCAGCCAAGGAGACTGCAGGCTGGCTGATCGCCGCAGTCCAAATTATCATCTTCACGCCGCGTCGTGGCAACATCCTTCCTACACCCTCGACAGCTTGGGGTGCCCTAGTGCCGGGGCAACAGCCCTGCTCTTCCTCTGCTCACAGGTGGGGCCCTAGACTGACGGTGGAGGAGCCAGCGCTGCGTTTCTCAGGCTGGAGGGGACCTCCTTTAGCATCGGCCTCTCTTCTTCCTTATGTATGAGGGTGAAGAACAAGGCTAATATGGCTTCGATTCTCAAGTCTTGGTCAGAATGGCACAGGAGGAGCATTTCCAAGTTAACCCCCATATCCAGTAACAGAATGGGTCATACTGCACCAGTACTTGGAGAGGAAACCCCTCCTGAGACGCCAGGCTTGGGGCAGGTGGGGGTTTCTTAGATGCTGCTACACTTAGAAAGCATCCGGTGAGTAAAGATTCACTTCCTGCACGGGTTCCTTACAGCTGGGACATCTCCTTTCTCCCTTTTGCCCATGCAGCAAAGCACAGTCACAGCAGAAGACATGCTGGCAGGGGGCCAGGCGTCCATAAATTCGGATTGGAAATCCACAGTGGTGACAAAAATGAACCAGGAAGGGATCTCTCTTCCCTAGAAAGTTATTCTGATAGACATTCTCAGGTACCCTGATGTTCTCCAACACGTTCCCTTCATCACCAAGCCGAGTTCCTCCTTCATCCAGGCCTCCTTCAGCACTAGCCTGCAACTCCGAGAACGTCCCGCTTGGGCCCCTGGCAGCAGGAGGCACACGTGCGACTTGGCTGTGGCTGAGCTTTATCGGGTTTGGTCTGTAACCAGCGAGACCAACCACTGATCCCGAGTTCTCAGTGCCTTGAAAGTCATTGAGGTCTGCGAGCAGGTCAGTCCAAGTGGAGGAATACAAGGTAGCCGGGGGCCGGGGCCTGGATCGTGACACGAGGGAGCAATTCAGATTTTCAGCAGAGAAGGAGTAAACGTTCTAACTTGGAAATACATCAAGTGCGAAGCTTTAGCCCTGAGTAAGAACCTGGCATTTGGCTCAAGGAGGTGCTGGGCTGTCAGCTCTCCCGCCCCCAATTACTCATCCAGCAGCTTTTATCTATCACTTCCCCCAGAAGCATGAGTAAAACCAACGTGTTGTAACCAGGAAACAAGCCTAGTCGTGGAGGAAACCGGCACCTAAGGATTCCTCTACACAGAAAGGGTAGCGGTGCCTGAAAGAGCTGAGATGAAACGCAAAGGAGGCAGCGGTGGAAGCAGAGAAGTGACTCCAGTACTTACTCCATCTCTGCAGGCTGCGGAGAAACAGACCGTGCAGCCAGTGAGGCCACCTGCATTTGCTCTAAAGGTTTGTACTGGGTACCAGCTCCTGTTAAATCTTGTGTGTATTGTACAACAGGCCCTTTGCTCCTGACAGCACCTAGTGGGGAAGGGGGAAAAAAAAGCAAAGTATCAACAAGAAAAGTCTCTACCATCAACCAAAGTTTGTTGCATTAGCCACAAAATATCGATTTAGTTCCTGAAGGCGACCGAAACAGAGACATTTGCAATTAACAGCAGGTTGTTGGCTGAGCTCTGAGTCACAGCTGGTCACCCCAAACAGATTCTGGCCACTTCAGGCATCAGCAGTTTGGTCTTGCAGCATCTTTATGCCAGGAGAAAAAGCCCACTGTAAATCTTAAATCTCCAGGAGTTCTGCTAAAAAAAAACCAAACCCAACCCCAAAACCCCACCAAAAGCAAACAAAAGCCAAACCAACCCACGACGTGTTCACTCGAATTCCAGGATACAAAGGAAAGAAAAAGATGTCACCTACCAACGTTGGGACGAGTCCTTGCTTGTCCACTCTGTTTCTTTTCTTGGGTGGAGGCTGTGGAAGTTTTCATGCTGAACATGGGCTCCAGGCGTGTGGAACCCCTGTAAATCCACTCACAGCGTTTGTCATCCTGCAGCAAAGAGAAGGCAACACTCGCAACACCTACGGCAAGAGCTTCCAGAGGTACAAGCCAGGCCTGGGAGATGGCAGCATGCTTTTAGGGTGAGCAGGATGGAATGGAAAGGAAGTAAAGCATTAACCTGAAGGCTCTTGAAAGACCATGCAGCCAAGAGAGGGCAAAGGCAGGAATTTGTCCTATTTGGGGAACTCTGAATACAAACCCACCTCAAATCTACAAAGAGGCTCAATACCAAGACCCCAAACTTCAGATTCAGTTCTATTTTTAACCTGACAACTGACTTAACGAGGCTCTGTTGGAGAACATAAACTTCCCTCAGGAAGAGAAGCCAACTACTCTGCACAAACCACATCTGCTCTAGGACGGGGAGGTTAAATTGGCAAGTGCTCAAAGTCTTCACCAGCCCCAGTGGCTACACAGTTATCTGGGCAGGAAAGGAGCTGAGCGGGCACAGGCCGTACGTCTGCTGCCTTCCTGCAGTGTTTAGAATTTGAGCAGCAGAACATCACAGCTTCTACTCAGCGTCTCTCCTGTTTCTCAAACCAGCACTTGTATTTGGGACAGAAGACGTGTTTAGGTGTTTGCATCAAGAAAGGGATCAGGACAGAACACGTGCAGATGATGGGTTTTGTTTCTTATTTACCTCCCACTTTTACATTTTCATATGCAAAATGCTTTAAAAGGCTTTTGAAGCTTCTGTTGTGCAAATGTGTCTCTCACCTTCACATCAAGGCACAGCAGAAACAAAACTGGACTGGATCAGCAAAACCAAGTCAGCCCCTGCCCCCAGACTCCAATTTCAGCCCATCTCTCATGGGAGAAGGGAAATGGCCCTACCAGGAAAAGGATTTTGACCAGGCTGCCATCCACTTCTTCCACTCTGGATTTCCACCAGGTCCCTTCCCACTCAGTTTTGATCAGCTGGCCATTCTTCAGCAGCACCATGGGGCGGTTGGGGTAGGCGGTGATGTACTCCTCAATGAAATCACGACAGGAAACATCCTCTATGTCTTCCCAGGTCTTTTGCACTGTTTGGGAGAAAGGGAAAAGGAGGATAGACTCTGTATTAGAAAGAGAATCTTTAATTTTTTTTTAAAGAGAGCCCAGATGGTTTTTTACACAAGAACAATTAAGCAGCAATCCCAAGCGGCCGGATTTTTGGTGGTGGGACCTGTTAACACACCCAGAGTGTGAGGAGTCACAGCACACTCACTCTGCTGGTAATAAACCACTATTTCCTCTAGCTCTGCATGTAAACACCTAGAGGCACAGCACTGGAGGGAACAGGCAATCTGTCCCCTGTCCTTTGAGCCAGGTTCTTTCAGTCACCCAAAGGTTCTCCCTACGATTGCAGTGTTGGGACACAAGAAGGGCAGAGATCACTCACGTGGCCGGCAGATCGGGTACAGCTCCCACTCCTTCACATACGAAGCGTAACCATCGTCAAAGAAGATCAGGAACCTGGAGAACAGCAGCGTTGGAAACTGGAATGAGAAATGGAGCTGAACAAAATGCAGCTCCACATCACTTCATGGAAGCGGAGGACCCTTCCCTTTTCTTCTGCCAGTCCCAAAGGCCCTCAGATCAGACACGGAGGATGAGGACAGAGTGAAGTAATCACTTCTGCAAGGAGATGATGGGCTTTGCAGTGCTGCCACTGCCCTCCCTCACTCCTGAGCTATCCCTGTGCTCCCAAAGCCAAAGGAGAGGCTGCCCAAAAGCTTCCCAGCAGCACAGCACAGCCAGGCCCTCTTCCCTCAGCTCCAGATTCCTTCTGTGCCTCAGACACAGGAAGAGAAAAGTTTAATTTCTTCTGATCTCTACAAGAAAAGATATTTTTGGAGCCTTTGGGCCAGAGGCTGATGCCCGTGGTTTGAAGAGCAGCACAGGGAGGTGGGGGCAGTTCCAGGGCTCCACCTGCAGACAGGAGACGAGCAGAGAGTCTGCAACGCCCGTGGGGAAGGAGCTCTGAGGGGAAAACCCTGAAGGCTGGATACAGCACCCGCTCAGCGCTGGTGCCTCTGAAAAACAACCTCAGGGTACGGCGCTGTATAAAGGTCCCATTATGAGAGATCAGTGTGACTGCCAGCCTAGCCAGGAGGAGGAAATTTGCAATATGAGTAATAAATGCAGTTTGTTTTCAGTTATTAAACACGTATCAGAGAGAACTTGACACAATTAGGCACTTAACAGCAGATCCACGTTGGAAACCAAGAGGGTGATTATGAATCTTTATGAATCTTCTCAGAAAGACCACAGGCCTAAAGCACAACACTGGAGCTGCCCAGTCCCTTATTTATACACGACTCAAAAGGCCACTTTCAACCTGCTGCTGCTTCTCCTCAAGTGCTTTGGCAACACCACAGGCACTAAATGCTTCTAGGGCTCAATATTTCCTAAAGTTACGTTTTATGCCTCGAGCAGGGCAGGATGATAAATCAGCTGATTATTCAGCTGATAATCTGAATGAATTTTCTTCACTGTGAGGGTGGTCAGACTCTGGAACAGGTTGGCCAGAGAAGCTGTGGCTGCTCCTCCCTGGAAGTGTTGAAGGCCAGGCTGGATGAGGCTTTGAGCAACCTGGTCTAGTGGAAGGTGTCCCTGCTGCTGGCAGGGGGGTTGGGACTGGATGAGCTTTAAGGTCCCTTCCAACCCAAACCAGTCTGGGATTCTACGGTTCTATGAATTACCAGATATAATTTCTGACTCAGAGACGTGAGTAATCAAAATGGAAGCTCCACCCAGAGCATTCTGAGATAAGAAAAGATGAAGAAACAACATTCAGAACTACGTCACTGGAAAGGGCAGAAGAGAATTTAGCTCCCGCAATAGCAACTATACCTTCCCTCCCTCCCCCCCCCTTATCTTTTTCTCTTTTTTCGTAAAAAAAAACAAAAAACAAAACAAAACAAAACAAAAAAAAAAACAAGAGGGAGAGGAGTATGTGACTGTGGAGGAGAATTAATTAATACCTGTCTTTATTCTTGACGTTGGGGGTTTCAGCCACAATGCCAGCGTACAGCCAAACCTGATTTCCATCTTTGTATTTTGCCACAACCCTGCTGCCAACGTAGTGTTTCTCGGGTGAGGGGTGATAGTCGTAAGCGATGTGATTGCCAGAAAGCAAACTCTTCCCTTTGTTATCAAATTTCACTTTGTACTTCTTCCCAGCACCTGAAAGACAATTCAACAGGGCAAGATAAATAAAACCCCAGTGATTTCATTGTACACTGTTCTGATCTCAGTTTGTAAGTTATTTTAAAGCCTTTCAGAAATTAATTTGTACAGTACAATATTATTGTGGAGATGTGTTGCTTTCACAACCCCTTCCAGATGGCACTGGGTGCTCTGACCCAGGAGGGGACCTGCTCTGAGCCTGATCAACGTTCCCCCACCCAAAGCACAGTGAAAGCCAGGAGCAGCGAGTCACAGCAGCACGTACCGACCGTCTGGATTGCAATCAGAGTTCCTTTGTGCCACGTTTTGGTTCTTTTCTTGCCCAGGATCCTCATGCCAACATTCAGGTCACCGTCATTGCTGAGATCACTCCCAGCCGCCGCAGGGCCAGCGGGCTGGACAGTGCCAGGAGTTTCCTGAGGGGTCTGTGTATCTGCCCAAGGAACAACAGCAGGAGGTAAGTTAGAAATTGTCCAAAGTCTCCCTCTTTTGTGTGTGCAATTGGAAGAACATCTGTTGGACTGAGACAGGAGATGTTCTTTAGCTTTCCTTTATCTCAGCCAGCCTAAGTGCCCTCATTTTAGCGGGCAGAGTAATTAGCAAGCCAGGTTTAAACATCATCAACAAGTTTCCGTGTTACAGAAACTGAACCACATGTATTTGCTTTCAGAAAGGGCTTAAAAGAAAAATAGGAATTTGGAATCAATGTATCCTCATGGATCTTTCCAGTGGGGAAACAGAATAGTTTTCTTTTTCTTCTTCAGAAAGAAAACTGGGAGGTCTAAGGTGCAGACAGGACCAGGGAAGGGCACACGCGGGTGCCAGCCCGTGTCTGTCAGCCCATGGATGCTCACACACACTGACCTTTCTGTGCATCCTGGGCATTTGTTTTCTTGTTCACAGCATCCATAAATTTCTGAACATCCTGGGCGGACTTTCTCATCGCAGCCATGGCTTCCCGCAGCTGAAGGGAAAGAAAAAGAAAGAAAATATGAAGAACCTTTTGTTTTTTTGCACCAAATACAACGCAGCGTTCCAGCAAAACCCCACTGCAGAAGGACACGACACTCGGGTCTTTTCCAACTCACCAGAGTGTGATCCTTTGTGACTCTGGGACTGCTGTTGCCTGTGTTTAAAAGAGAAAAGAAACGGTTTAAAATGGTTAAAAATCTTGGGGAAGAAAAATCCATCTTAGTTAAGCCACCAAAAGAAGAGGGAAGAGAGAAAAGCATCCACTCAAAAGCCTTCTCCGTTCCTGTCCAGAAATCCGCTCAGGGCTTGTGCTGAGCCACCCTCTCTAGATGCAAAACACGCTGCACAGGCAGCTCCCCCAGAGCAGTGACGGGGAAAATGGTCAGGCAGGGGGGGGAAGGTCACAGTTTGGGACTCCAGGAACTGTGGGATAGTTACAGACCTTGACAGACCACGTTCCTCAGGAGCTAACAGCATTTCCCACCCGATCCTCTCCTGCTTACGGAGCAGTGTGGCTTATGGGCGGCTTTACAATCCCCTTACTCTGATCCCTCTCAATCCCACCCTCCTCTCCAGGACACACTCTGCTCTCCATCCCTCCCCTCGCTACCACACGGCACAACGAGACACTGAACTGTGCTTCCAGCCCGAATCGATGCTCATGACATCATCATCGTCCTCATCTGGGATCTCAATCACTTCCATGGGTTTGGCAGCCGAGTCCTCATCCTCAGAGCTGCTCTCACGGTACTGGAGGCCCAGCGTGGAGTACAGATCCTTCACCAGGATCTCACATTTATCAATGGCTCTGAGGGGGAAAAAAGAAGATGGAAATGGGAAAAGATGAGGTGAGCCCAGCTCTGCATCCCACAACCCCGCAGAGATAAACAGGAACTGACCATTGGGGAGCTGCTAATTAAATACATTAAATACAACCGTGACAAGGTGAGGGAAGAGATCACTGGAAGGATTCAAAGCCACGGGGCAATAATTGTAATTATCCCTCAAGAACTACATGCAAATACAGAATAACGATGCAGAATATTGATACAGAATAATGATGCAGAATAACAGCATCAGGCTGCACCAAAGGGAAGGGACAGGGCTGGTGGAACCATCTCCCCCTCCTCAGCTCCCAGGCCCTGCGCTGACAGGGGGCTGCGACTCCCAAGCGCGCTCACCTCGAAGCGTCATCGAAGAGCCGGTCAACACGAGCCACCTCCTCTTCTTTCTGCTTCACACACTTCTCCAGCTCCTCCAGCTGCTGCTTCCTCTGCTTCACGCACTCAAACTTCTCCAGCTCTTTGTCAATGATATCTTGGAGCTCCTCCATGGAGATTCCCAGCTCCTCCATCACTTCTTGCTCCAGCTCTTTGATCTCCTGGGAATCCATTTCTGCTGCACCTGACACCAGGAGAAGGTGAGACAAGGTGGGTGAGACCCTGTCCCTACAGCACCCGCCAAGGCGCTCGCAAAGGCCGAACCTCGGGGTTCTTAAAGCTGCTCGAGAAGGAAACATTCGCTGTGTTGTCAAGAGAAAATCACAAAGAGCCCAAAATAACCCAAAGTGCAAGAAAACTGCGGAGCCAGAGGCACCCGGGACAACCTGGGACCCTCGACGTCTCCTCCTCCCATCTCTGCACCTCACCCCGATCATCCCCCACATC